CCTGTCAGGCAGTTGTAGGCAGCGATAAGGGCTCCCCTCAGCCTCCTCTTCTCCAGGCTGAACACCCCAAGCTCCCCCAGACGCTCCCCAGCAGCCATGGGCTCCAGACCCCTTCCCAGCTCCATTGCCCTTCTCTGGACACGCTCCAGCCCCTCCATGTCCTTCTGGGAGTGAGGGGCCCAACCCTGAACCCAGCATTCGAGGGGCGGCCTCCCCACTGCCCAGCACAGGGGCACGGTCACTGCCCTGCTCCTGCTGGCCACACCAGTCCTGATACAAGCCAGGATGCCATTGGCTCTCTTGGCCACCTGGGCACCCTGCTGGCTCATATTCAGCTGCCTGTCGACCAACACCCCCAGGTCCTTTTCTGCCGGGCAGCTTTCCAGTCATTCTGCCCCACGCCTGTAGCGTTGCATGGGGTTGTTGTGACCCCAGTGCAGGACCCGGCCCTTGGCCTTGTTAAACCTCATACAGGGTCTCACAGAGCCCCCTCGCACAGAGCCGTTCCTCCCTTGCCCATGTGCATCCCCGCTGGCACTGGTGCATGATGAGGCTCACGGTTTCATTTCGCCGTTAACAAACCCCAGGCCTGAGGTCCTGCATTTCTCTCTGTTGCACAAACCACCAAATGCCTGACATGCCAAGCATCTCGGGAGCTACCTTGCTGTTGGTTTCAGTGGGACCTGGGAGTCTCCAGGGGTGGAGTGGACCTACCCGAGCAGTGTCTTGTTCCCACGGAGGCAGATGAGTCCTTGTCCCCAACCTCCGATCACTTCCAGCCGAGGCCATGTCATTTAAATACAGATTATACAAGATACTTGTGTTGGACACCAGGGGCCCACCAAAGCTGCTCCATCGCTCCCCTCTTTAACCGGACAGAGGAGAGAAAAGTAGATCCAAAGGCTTGTGGGTCTAGATGAGGACAGGAAGAGATCATTCGCCAGTTACTGTCACGGGCAAAACGGACTCAACTTGATGAAATTAATTTAATTTATTACCAATCAAAATCAGAATAGGAGAGGATAAAAACTTCTGAATCTTAAAACACCTGCCCCCCACCCCTCCCTTCTTCCCGAGCGCCCAGTGTCTCTACCTACTTCCCCCAAGTGGTGCAGGGGGACAGGAATGGGCGTCGGGGTCAGTTCATCACATGTTGTCTCTGCCACTTCTTCCTCCTCAAGAGAGGACTCTTCCCCTGCTCCAGTGTGGGGTGCCTCCCACAGCAGACAGTCCTCCACGAACTTCTCCAACGTGAGTCCTTCCCACGGGCTACAGTTCTTCACAAACTGCTCCAGTGTGGGTCCATCCCTCCCACAGGGTGCAGCCCCTCAGGAGCAGACGGCTCCAGCATGGGTCCCCTGTCCCCTGACAGGTCTTGCCAGCAAACGTGCCTCAGTGTGGGTTCCTCCCCCATGGGTCCACAAAGTCTTGCCAGGAACCTGATCCAGCACAAGCTTCCCACGGGGTCACAGCCTCCTTCCTTCGGGCATCCACCCGCTCTGGCCTGGGGTCCTCCCCGGGCTACAGGTGGAGGTCGTGGGTCAAGATAAGGGCAAGGAGCAAAACAGACTCAACTTGATTAAATTAATTTACTACCAATCAAAATCAGAGAAGGAAAGGATAAAAAACTGCTGAATCTTAAAACACCCCTCCCTTCTTCCTGGGCTCAACTTCACTCCCAGTTTCTCTACCTCCTCCCCCCAACCCGGCTGGCGCAGGGGGACAGGAATGGGGGTTGGGGTCAGTTCATCACACATTGTCTCTGCCACTTCTTCCTCAGGAGAGGACCCTTCCCCTGCGCCAGCGTGGGGTCCCTCTCACAGGAAGAGTCCTCCATGAACTTCTCCAACATGAGTCCTTCCCACGGGCTACAGTTCTTCACAAACTGCTCCAGTGTGGGTCCATCCCTCCCACAGGGTGCAGCCCCTCAGGAGCAGACGGCTCCAGCATGGGCCCCCTGTCCCCTGACAGGTCT